AAAGATATAAAACGATAAAAAATTAATTCACAAACAAAGCACGAGCGTAATATAAACGCAGAACAAACCGTTATACCGTTTTAACAAACTCAATAAGCAAAGAGCGAAAAGCAACCGGTTACGATGACAGTTCGACGGTGAATGTTTTTTGTAATTTATTTTCAAGTTTTAATATGAAAAATACTAATTACTGAACTTGATAACTTACTTTTTCCACGCTTTGTTACTGAAAATTTCTATAGAAAGCCCAGAAAATTTCTTACCAGATAAGGGGTTGTCACTAAATTCATCAATTGTATATATTAAGTTTTTTAAACCATTTATATAGTCTGCAGATTTAGGCTTACTTGTAGGTAAAGTTTCAGAAAATGAGGTAGTTTTATTAGTTATTTCGATGACTTGGTAGAGGAAATTAATTCCGATGTGGAATGTCGCAACCGTGGGACCCCCATAGAGGTTGTATTGAACATAAATATTACTCATTTTTTAGTAATATTTTTTTACAGGTAAAGTGTTTAAAAAGATACCTTACAATCTCGTTTCCGCTCTCCCAGTAGAACCATCACAAATTGTCACCATCGTCTGGAGGTATTTCCTTTATAAAAATATATTTATGTCTTTTCAGATATAATCTAGAAGCTGGATGTCATTGAGACTCGTGTCACTGCCGTCGAAAATTCCCTAACAGACAAAGTAAGTAAAGCAGTATTACATTACCAAATTAGTACAGAAACTAATTTTTATATTTTCATTTTCTAGATGCCAGAAAAGGCCGAGGTGTAGGCACAAAGTAAATTATTGCGTGAATGCCGGGTCAAAGCGATTTTCTGACGATTTAATGTATCACTACAACTTAGAGGGGCGCAAGGAAAAGGAATCCCTACTAAAGCTAAAGTGCGTAGGGTTAGTTTTTGGAAGGCTTTTATACTGGTATTATTTGAATGCCTTAACTTATAACGGAGCTTCGAAGAATTGTGGCCTTAAGCCACAATCGTTTTAAACAGAAAAAACATAAACTTAAGGCAAAATTAATATACGTTTTCTTATTATTATTTATATATATTAGTTTTAAGTTGTAAATATTAGTTTAAAGGTGTACATATTAGTTTTAAGTTGTAAATATTAGTTCGAAGTTGTACATATTAGTTTGACGTTGTAAATATTAGTTCTAAGTTGTGCATATTCGTTTTAAGTTGAAGTTTCTAATTTTACTTTTACAAATACGAATTTTTAGAATTTTCATACTGAAATAAACTTAATCTTGTACTATTTTTCTGCCGAATATCATAATAATAGGCATATTATTAATTGAAGTAAATATTTGCTTTTGATTTTATTATTAAATAAAGCGAAATAATAAAAAAGCTGAATTTCATTTTGAAAAATTGAATTTGCTAGAGTAACAAATGGGTAATAGATATGCTTGTTACTGCTTGTTCTTGCTAAAATGTTTATATGTTAAAGGTAACAAACTGATAACACTAACAGATATTTGGGTAACAAATACTTTTTGTTATCCATAACACATAGGTAAGATTTGCGCTAACAAAAGAGTTTGTTACCCGTAACTTATGTACTGTTAAGAGATTTGCTAACAAATGTATGTATTCGATATTTGCCATTGGTTAGAGAGAGATAACCATTGAACACCAAATAGCTATATGTTCGGACCGACATTGAAAACATTTTAAAAACTCATTTGTGTGTTGTGGAATGTAAGTCATTCGGATCGACAATGTCTGTTATCGCTGAGTTTTCACTGACAACTATCAATACGCCGATTATCTTGCTCTTGCAAGATGACACTAAATGCAAAAATCCTATACCGAAATATACAAGGCCAAGAGAGCACCCATTGCAGAATCTAGTGATATATGACGGCACGAAAATAAACATGGGTTTTGGTCTGACATATTTTACAGCCTTTGCAAATAAATTTATGCGTGTGTTTGTTGTGTCGTTGCACCAAAAAGAAAATTCTGCAATTCGTGCACCGTGCAAGGGTTTTGCAAGAACAAGGGAATCCCCTTAACAGCAAATAAATTTATGCGTGTGTTTGTTGTGCCGTTGCACCAATAAGAAAATTCTGCAATTCGTGCACCGTGCAAGACTTTTGCAAGAACAAGGGAATTCCCTTAACAGCGAGCAGCTTTATATGTATATGGAATGTAAACAAATATCAAGTGAAAATTTAGGGCCGGCAAAATGTGTCTTCCAAAAAAATCGATTAAACTAAAGCTGGCACCGATTATAATGAGTGGAATGTAAGTTTTCAAGTAGTTTTCCTTGTTTTCGTTTGACAGATTTTCTTCTTCTTCTTAATTGGCGTAGACTCGGTATCGAATGACTCGGAGAGGTCCTTCCCGATCCTAACGGAGCTTTTGGTGTTGATCAATGTCAGTTTACACAGCCGTATTAGTTCTGCGGGGATACCAAATTCAGACATCGCGGCATAAAGGCAGCTCCTTTTCGTGCTGTCAAAAGCAGCTTTGAAATCGACGAAGAGGGGGTGAGTGTCGATCCTCCTTTCACGGGTCTTTTCCAAGATCTGGCGCATGGTGAATATCTGGTCGATTGTTGATTTTCCAGGTCTGAAGCCACACGGACAGGGTCCAATCAGTTTGTTGACGGAGGGCTTTAATCTTTCACACAATACGCTCGATAGAACTTTATATGCAATATTGAGGAGGCTTATCCCACGGTAGTTGGCGCAGTTTGTTTGGTCTCCTTTTTTGTGGATTGGGCATAGCACACTTAAATTCCAATCGTTGGGCATGTTTTCGTCCGACCATATATTACAAAGAAGCTGATGCATGCTCCTTATCAGYTCTTCGCCGCCGTGTTTGAATAGCTAGGCCGGCAATCCCTCGGCCCCCAGCGCTTTTTTGTTCTTCAGGCGGGTAATTGCTATTCGAACATCTTCCTGGTCGGGCAATGGAACGTCTGCTCCATTGTCATCGATTGGGGAATCGGGTTCGCCTTCTCCTGGCGTTGTGCGTTCACTGCCATTCAGCAGGCTGGGGAAGTGTTCCCTCCATAATTTAAGTATGCTCTGAGCATCGGTGACTAGATCACCTTTGGGGTTCTAAAGAAGTATGCTCCGGTCTTGAAACCTTCTGTAAGCCGCCGCATTTTTCGTAGAATTTTCGAGTCGGCCAGCTTATCAAGCTCATCGTACTCACGCATTTCGGCCTCTTTCTTTTTTTGTCTGAAAATGTGTTTCGCTTCCCTCTTCAACTCTCGGTATCTATCCCATCCCGCACGTGTTGTGGTCGATCGTAACGGAGATGGGGTCATGGGTAGAAGTTCACGCAAGTGAAGAAAGTTCTCTGATCGCCATTCACTTGGGAATGGCCAGAAACGGTTCTTTTACCCGTCTGTTCTGCTACCCGTCTTGTAGAGATATTTTACTTTGAAAAACAAGGAACAAAGTGGGCGTAAGGTTAAAACATAATATAAAATATATAAAGCTTTAATGTGAAGGCAAACTAGCATATATGCAGACAAATAACATTACGGTATTTACAGTTATGCTTTCCTTATTTTATATAACTTCGAAATATTTTTATAAACAAATAATCTGTTAAATAAAATAGTTGTAGGTAGGTTGAATGTTAAGTGAACATAACGCACATCAAGTAAGGAAGGACTAAGATCGGGAATAACATGACATTAGATACTCTCGCAATTGTCGGAGGATCAACGATATAAATAATTGACAACAGCGCATTGGTTTAGCGCATGAACAATCAATCGAATATGCAATGCGGACTTAATGGCATTTTCATTATCGTCCCTCCTAGTGCTAGTGTCGACAATATGCTCAGTTGTCACACCGGAGGTAATAACAGTGTGAGTGTGACATCACTGGCTTTGGTGGACTTATGCCGAATTCACCTGAAATTATTAATAATATTATTGGAGAAAGCAATTTGAAACACCAATACTATCAAGCGAATTGAAATGAATGGGTTGGCTTCTTAGTAAATGGCTAAGGTAGGTATGGAACAGATGCAGCACAGTCTCCAAATTCATCTAGTCCTAATAACCCGGCGTCATATTGATCGTTATCGTCACCTTGAACAAGAGGGGCATTAGGAATAACGACAAACGACAGTACACATACAATTGCGAATAGAAATCGTAATAATCAAATGAGCCAATTCAATAGTAATCCCAGTACTCCATTATCACCCTTATCACCAAAAGATCTTGATTCATTTCATACAAATGTACAAGCAGGGGCCTATTTCACTAAACTACAATTCTATAAGTTTACAAGTTACAATCACAAGTTTAATTTTCACAAGTGTTGATAAATTGCGTTTCATTAAAATTTTGACAACACTTATAGTTTTCTGCACTTGTAAACTACAATTTCTACAATTACAAGTTCTTGTATACTTGTGAATTTTTAAATAAAATAAAAATTGATAAATTAAACATATGTATGTGTGTATATATATATGTATATCGATAATTTGTTTTGATTGTTATCACATCCCTAATCAATCAAAACACATGTTATGTGTGTTTAATGTTGTTTGCCCACTTGTTGTGTTTATRAAAAAGTTAAAAATTGTTTATTTGTAAAAAT